GAAGCTTTCTCTGACTAGAATGAACCTGCCCAACGTCAAATCTAGAAAAGCAAACAACCATTTTTACCTACTATGATGTATTAACTCTGGATTAATCTCTTATTATCAAACTTACATGAATCCATGCTCCTCAGACAGAGGATTTATTAGGATGAGTGCTTCCATACGTGCTCTGAAGCCATCGACTGAACAATTATATTGGGCCATTTGATATTCTGTAGTATCCACGGCGTAACTCTCCATTTCCAAGCACACGTGGACTCCACAGTCCTTATTCCCGGTCTGCGGCCTTTCGTTTCCATAAAAAAAATGTTGGCTCTCATCAATTTCAAATTTAGCTTTCAAATTCAAATACCCCGCGAAGAACTTGGCCTAACAAAAAAAATAAAAATAAATAAACCAACAAAATACATGAATAGCTTATTTGAAATAAAAATTAAAATAAATACAAAACAAAGTTTAATATGTCATAAAACTTACCAAACTTTTCCCAGCTCCTTGGTAAATGGCACTATCCAACGAGTTATGATATATAAATTTCTTTTGTTTAACGTCTAAGACGACCAAGAAAAAGTGAAATTTCTTGTGCATGGGGAAGAACACAAACTTAGCAGTAGAGATGTCCCCAATGAGCTCATCTAGCATGGCAACAGTACTTCTACTCATCTTAGAAGTACACAACTCATAGTCTTCATCGCACCAATTTTTTCTAGTTTTCATTTTTTGCACGGCATCCAAAACATTAATCTACAAAATAAATAATATTTTTTTTAGTAAATTCAGAAAATTAATTTTAGAAAATTAATAATAGTAAAAAAAAATTGTTAAAGTACCTGAACATAGGTAGGCAAGAAGCGAACATGTGGATGGCGAGCGCGCAAGATCATCATAAAGCAATCGATGAGATCGGAACTCAACTCATTCCCGAACAACAGATCAATCATCGACTTTCCTCGGAGTTCCACTCGATCGTTGCTCCATACAATTTTGCTACTAAAATTTGCAATTCTTATTAGTATAATATAAGAAAAATGTAACAATTAAGAAAATGAGATAATTTCTGTTACCTCAGGTCTTCGCTAGTCAAGAATGATCGTATGGATGCACGAACGTCTTCCTGCACGAACTCGTCCACAAAAGTCTTCCCTTCATCTGAAGTCATTCAGAGAAGAATCCTCAGCATCATTGTCCTACATTACGAAATAATAATTGGTTAGTTATATGACAACATCACGAACAATCATCCAATCTTTGCATATATAATTTGATAGTGTACTTACGTCATCACTAGTCACGTCTAACAGCTGCACTTTTATCTCTTTCTTCCGTCTCGTCGGACTGGATGACAGGGGAGGCATAAAATCTACCAACCTTTCCCTTTTGTCATCTTTTTTCTCAACCTCGTTCTCCTTCTCTACTTCCTTCACCTCATTCTTTTTTTCCTCTTCCTTCTCCTCTTTCTCAGCTTCATTATCAACCACCTAAGAGTTTTCAAAAATAAAATAATTGTTTTTAGGAGAAAATTTACAGGCATTGTAACTTGGAACAAAAATATTCGTTTGAAAATAAAAAAACATTATTTTGATGGTGAAAAAGTTCATAACTGCACAAATATGAAACGGAACATGTCAAAACGTTACCTCGTCGGGGATGAACGATGACCCACCGAACTTCAAGCCGGTAATTTGGCAAAACTCGACTTTGCCAAATTTATAATTTTTTCCCCCTATTCTATACCAATGCTCCTTCTCCCGAGCACCATCAACAATGACCTCCCGACCGAAAAGTGCGAGCAGTAATTTTCCATTGTAGTAAGCATGTGCATCGAACCTTAAAAAATGTCCAAAAACTGATTCTTTGAACTCATTAAGGCGGCCACACACACCTAATTGCTCTTCAATGTGGCGTATCAGTAATGGCTTCGTCTGGCAATTTATTTTGCCAGTCCAGTTGCACGCCTCATTCCATCGCCAACTCCAAACATGAGCCTAAAATTGATGAAACAACATGTTATTTTTTTTAAATACTTTCTAGTTATTGAAAAAAAAATAATTTGTACTCCATAACATACCTCATTGTTAGATATCGTCGTATCTGCCATGTTCGAATAAAATGAAGAAGATCTGCATTCCAATTAAGAAGATCAGAAAGTTAAAAAACACTGTCATTGTTTGAACCGCAATCAAGTGGAATTGTTTGAACTGCTGACACACCTCTCTAAAACATAAACCGTCATGCAAGAATATAAAAGGCAAGTAAGGACTGTACACAACGACACTGTAATTTGACTATTTGAGCCGAGATTTGCTGTTTGCATATAAAAAAAAAAAGAACAAATGTTTATTGTCCTGCAGATACTCTCTAAATTAAACAAAAATTAGGTTTTTATTTTTCCAAACTTCAATTTTACAATATGCAAAACCTAATTCAGTAGCTTCCCATGGATTTCGACCAAAATAACTCAATACTATTAAAAAAAAAAAATAAGATAAAAAACCCTAAGCAAACCCTACAAAATTTACAGTTTTGGGAACCGCACCTTGATGGTCGACCTGCTCGAGTTGGGAAGCCGAAGTCAAGCGATATTGATGGCGTTTTTTTTTTATTCGCCGGAGGAGAGGAGTATCGAAGGTCTCCTTGACGGAGGACAGAAGCAGCAGTGCGTCGATTGCCGGTTAATTCGCTGAAGTGCAGCGGAGGTTACTTGGAGTAGACAAGCAAACAGATGTGAGCAGCTCGAACTATCTTCTGTCTCTGTTTTTACTAAAGCGGGGAGGGAGAATGACAAAGGATATGGAGTATCTGTTTTGCAAATTTGGGAGGGAGAATGAAAAAGATGAGATTAATAGGGATGTAAATGGGTTGGGTCGGGTACGGGTTTTAACAAACCTGAATCCGACCCGCATATAATTTACCATACCCAAACAAGAACCTTTACCCGGTTGGTGATCTTCAGGTTCTGGTTGGGTTTTACCCGTTGGGTTAGTGGGTATTTTTTGGGTAAATCGGTAACCCGAGTTTTAAATTTGGGATTTACCCGATACATCTCGTTTCATATTAAAATCAATTAAAATGAGTTTCTTGAACAAGAAATGTGTTTGTTGGACAAGAAATGAGTTTCTTGAACAAGAAACCCGTTTTGTGCTCAAGAAACGGGTTTCTTGAGCAATAAACGGGTTTCTTGAGAACAAAATGAGTTTCTTGAGAAGAAAATGTGTTTCTTGAGAAGAAAATGTGTTTGTTGAACAAGAAATGTGTTTCTTGAACAAGAAATGAGTTTATTGAACAAGAAACACGTTTTATGCTCAAGAAACGAGTTTCTTGAGCTTAAAACGGGTTTCTTGAGAAGAAAGTGAGTTTCTTGAGAAGAAAATGTGTTTCTTGAACAAGAAATGTGTTTCTTGAACAAGAAACCCGTTTTGTGCTCAAGAAACGGGTTTCTTGAGCAATAAACGGGTTTCTTGAGAACAAAATGAGTTTCTTGAGAAGAAAATGTGTTTCTTGAGAAGAAAATGTGTTTCTTGAACAAGAAATTTGTTTCTTGAACAAGAAATGAGTTTCTTGAACAAGAAACCCGTTTTATGCTCAAGAAAGAAGAAAATGAGTTTCTTGAGAAGAAAATGTGTTTCTTGAACAAGAAATGAGTTTATTGAACAAGAAACACGTTTTATGCTCAAGAAACGGGTTTCTTGAGCTTAAAACGGGTTTCTTGAGAAGAAAATGAGTTTCTTGAGAAGAAAATGTGTTTCTTGAACAAGAAATGAGTTTCTTGAACAAGAAACCCGTTTTGTGCTCAAGAAACGGGTTTCTTGAGCAATAAACGGGTTTCTTGAGAAGAAAATGTGTTTCTTGAGAAGAAAATGTGTTTCTTGAAAAAGAAATGAGTTTATTGAACAAGAAACACGTTTTATGCTCAAGAAACGGGTTTCTTGAGCTTAAAACGGGTTTCTTGAGAAGAAAATGAGTTTCTTGAGAAGAAAATGTGTTTCTTGAACAAGAAATGTGTTTCTTGAACAAGAAACCCGTTTTGTGCTCAAGAAACGGGTTTCTTGAGCAATAAACGGGTTTCTTGAGAACAAAATGAGTTTCTTGAGAATAAAATGTGTTTCTTGAGAAGAAAATGTGTTTCTTGAACAAGAAATGAGTTTCTTGAACAAGAAACCCGTTTTACTAATTCGACTTCAATTGTACTAATTCGACTTCAAT